CAATCAATAACAATATCTGAGTCATCAGATCACTCAGTGGCATATCCCTGTCCATCATTATTGACAAAATCAGGAACTATTGGTGAAAAATTATTTGAACACCAACATATTAAACGGAAAATGAAAGAGTTATTGCGTTGGGTACTATTATTACTAATATTGATTATGTTTGGTGGCTCACTACTAAGTCGGGAAACAACATCAACATATGGCAATTATCGTTATATTGGTATTAAATTAATTTTATTTGGTATTGGTGTGGACTTTGCATTCACATATACTGATAACTTTATTGGTGATTTCTTAGGCGATAATAAAATTAACTTAGTGAAACATTGATTCCATGATAAACAACGTCATCCGGATTCCTACCTGTCAAATTGCCCGCGGTTCTCCACATGGACACGATATTTATTGAAGAATAACACAGTCGATTTTTTGGACAAAATCATTTGGTCAGATGGTGGCAGCTTCTGATCGATTTTGTCAGCATTATTACCATCAAACAACATTTATCCTGATCATTATGGTCTACAAAGCTATCATCCGATACCGATGGATACAATGTTATGGGAATTGTTTCCATATTTTTGGAATTGTCTCACTTTCTTTTCTCTTTGTTATTTTTTGTTCTTGCGTGTATTTTTTTGTTTTCTTTATTATTAGTATTGTAACGATGAGCGGGACGCTTCATCTAGTGGCAAGGGAGGTGTTAGGAAGTATAAACCAAATTTATATCAACAATGGTCATCTTTCAAATATACATGTTCTCTTCACTCGATGGTTATTTTTCCTTTCTGTTCTTTTGTTATATGTATTCACTGTCCTGTTTTTCTATGATGTATTATTTTTCTCTTTCTGTTCACTCTTTCCCATGGGTATTTTTCATTTCTATTCTTCTCTCTCTCTCACTCTCTCTCTCTTGTACAATAGCTGTTTTTCCCAGTTTCCCAGAGGAATGTTCCTGTAGCTGAGATATACTATATATAGTTGTTAATTTGCTGAAATAAAGTATGTGTAGCAGTTACATTCTGCTTTGGCTATTAACCATTGGATGCAAAACGATTCTGAAAGGAATAACCTAACACCCGGCGCACTAAAATCGATGTAATCGAATTTCTCTCGAGACATTCTCAACATTTTGGCCACTATAAACACTCTTCTTCGTCTATGCTTTCATGCATAAGTACCATCTACAACCTCCGTGAGCGTAAATGAGTTTTATTGTTTATTTATGTTTACAATTTATTCGGTTTTGTGTCAAAATAGTTTTCTTTTATGAAATGCAACTCTCCCTTTCGTTTTTCATTTTTTTTTGTATACCTGAGTACTCTACTGGTATGATCTGTTGTAAAAGTATTTCTTACGCAGTCCGCCGCATCAATGAAGCATTTTGGAAAGTTTATGTCAATGCAAAAATTTAGCTTCAGCTTATCTCCCTTTTCAAATAAATAAACATGTACCTATCTAATTTTGCATTGTGAACATTTTCTTGTCGCGCTCCACCAATTTGATAAAAATAAGGTGGTATATGCAGAATTTATCGGTGAATCCGACAGTGGGTTCCTTATAATTCTACCTTGACTTCTTCTCTGACGTCGACACAATCTATGTACTTTTTCCCTAAATTTTGGTTCTCTCATTGGTACCAATGAGATCTACCTAGAGTAATGGCCGATACGTTACATTATGAAATTTTGTGCAGTTGCCTTTCTCGTGGGAAGTTGGTCCTTGCGTGCATGTGACTTCAAACCTAGCAGAGAACACAGATCAATGTCCAATGCAACGTGGCTCTTCATTGTTACATTTACCGCTGCCGGTGTGTATTTCAATGTAAACCTACTCCTGTCGAATTTCATCAGAAAGCTGCTACCTACTAGCAAGCTGACGTATTTACACACGCAGCGCGAGGAAGATGACAGTTGCGCTGATGAAGCTGAAGACGAGGAAGATCATCGTTTACTACACGATTTCTCCCTTCAGTACATGAAAAGAGCCGTAGAGTATTACGACGAGAAAAATCCTAAGTACTCTAATTCTCTAATTAAGTAATTAAGTAATTATTACTTACTTTACTCTAATTAAGTAATTATTATTAAGTATTTCAAAGATCCTAATTGTCCTAATTATCCTGATTCTCCTAAATATTCTAAAGATCCTAATTACCTTAATTATCCAAATTATCCTTAATATCCGTAATATCCTAAGTATCCTAATTATCCTTAATATTCTAAGTATAGTAAATATCCTAATTATCCAAATTATTTTTATGAAATGCTTATTGTAATTGTTCTTTATCTTCTTCGATTGGAAACCAATATTCATGAACAATAGTAAGAAAATCTGCTATAGATAGTTTATTATCAAATTCTGAAAGTATAAAACTCAACGATGATGTACATATCCAAGTATAAAAAAAATCTAATATCGCCCGATTCATCTAGATTACCAGATTTTTACTCGATTAGAATTCTTTGGCAACGACAGTGGAAATCTAGTAATGGAGCAATTGGTAGATTTCTCCTCAGTTGCAACTATTAACTTATCGTCCGATAATGGAGCAATTTAATTGTTGCTAGTTGCAGCCAAAAGTCAGTTATAGATCGTCCGACTTCAGACGAAATGCATCTAGACATTTACTATAGAGGATATTTACTGGGGTAGATAAATGAAAAAAAAACAGAAATCAAATATCACCTTCAGAAGTATCTCCGGTTTCATTCGAGCGTTTTAAATTTTTTGCTTTTTCAATCATATCTTTAACAACATCTGTTGGTGGATTTTGTCCTGATTGTCGAAATGCGTCACCAACTTCTTCAATGAGAATAAAATCGTTCTTTTTAGCAACTTTCTTAAAACCAAATTTCAATACTAAAAAACAGAAGAATCAACCATCGTGACAGTTGAAATATTAAGGGAGTAGACAACACGATAGTAAAAGTGGAGTATACACTCTAAAAAAAGGAACAGCTTCTTCAGAAAACTGACACTGTGTTTTTCATTTGTTCCAAATAGGGATCTGATGTGAGTTTGGGACATTTGTTTTCCAGAAAACATCAGATCAAAAAACACATTTCTGCTCTTCGCTTTTTTTTTCAAATAGTTGAATCTTATTCTTTCTTGTCGTCAGCCAACTTTCAATACTATACCTGTGATCAGCTACTGGAGTATCTTTTATACTGTATGAATACTGTCAACTGGAGACCTGCATGAGTGGAGAAAACTATGTAACCCATATCCGATCTCGATCGAATCTCCGATCGAATCTGATTTCAGACACTGTATGTTCTCGACTCGCAGGATTCGAGTCGAATTTTAGAACTCTGTTGTCAAGAACAAATATGTCCTCGAAATGTGCACGTTGTTGTTATATAAAGAGATATTTATAAGAATAAGTTTAAGTTTCTGTAAGAAAAAATCATGCCTCTTAGCGGATGGGCCCGAAATAATGACACACTTTTGTTCTCTTTTCTTCCGAGCACAACTGACGTTCGAAGATTCCATTCTAAACCCATTCGATAGAGAATTTTCTGTTCTACAAAACCCTATAACGCACACTTTCACTGCGTTGTTTGGCTAATCCTTTTCCTGCTTTTTCAAAATCCCACGTTACCCGAAAGTATAGATTAACTTGTGTACTGAGAGCTTCACAATTTAGGTGACCAAACAAATAAGCAGCGTAGTCGGGATGATAGCGCTCAATCCGCTGAACATTTTTAGCATGTAAGCAGGCCCAAATCTACGTACGATTTCAAGACCCCTTTATTTTATTTTTCTCGAGATTCAGAATGTGAGATGCTGTGGATGAGCGAGAAAGAATGTGAGATGTTGAGGCATGAACGAGAAGTACAATCGCGTTATATAGTCTCAGGAAGTAAATAAAGAGTATGGGCTGTGAACTTGGACGCTTATGTGGAGCTTGTACGTATCTTGTGCATCGTCGAATGAGGTTCTAACAGAGAGGAAAATGAATTGTTTGACTTTAAGAATAGACTATAGTTAATGTAACGTAGGAATGGAAAAAAGTGCGAATAACATGAT